ATTTTTTTGTTGTTTGTTTAATTTGCACAGTTTGTTATTTCAATATAAATTTTATTATTTAATAATATATTTTAATATCTTAAAAATAATTTATTTATGTAAAGTAAGAAATGCACTTCTCATATCTCTGGCGTACTTGAAGCCCCTCTGTTGCATTTCTAATATGCTGCTGCTGCTGCTGCTGCTGCTGCTGCTGCTGCTGCTGCTGCTGCTGCTGCTGCTGCTGTTTAAATAAAATGAAGTGTCTGTTGAAGTCTCTGTCTATTTGAAGAATTGCAGCAATATTATTATATCTGCAGCAGTAATTTGGCGCACTCCAGACTGTCAATACAGCTGAAGAAGAATCAAAAGGATAGTTATATCCTTGTAAAGTTAATTGATGCGATCGAACAAGAAGATTAATATTATTAATATATAAAAATCTATTAGCTGTACATACACCGAAAAGATAACCTGCACCTCTCGGGCTTGCACTCCAGTATTGAATTTGAGATGAAGGGTCGCCCCACAGTAAATCTGCGATAGGAGAGTTAATATTAATATTATTTTCTTTTCTTAAGACTCTAATATCATCAATAAGCAATAAAGAAGGCGATAAGCCACCGTGTAAGCAAATAACTGTTTCATCAATTACAGCAGCAACACTAAATAAATCAAAGACTTCACAGCAGCATCGCCAGATGTTGCTGCTTCTATATTTTCTTAGACATTCATCATAAAAACCGTATACTGAAGATATATCCTTACACTCATGATTGCCTCTTAGAAGTATTAGCTGCTGCGGATGTAGGGCTTTCAGCAGCAGCAGCAGCAGCACTGTCTCTACTGAGTGTTCTCCTCTATCTACATAATCACCTAAAAATATAAAACTTTGATTGTTTAAAGACTCACAATATGATAATAACCTTAATAAATCGTACAGCTGCCCGTGTATATCCCCAAATATTACTACCGGTAGATGTACATCCTGCACGATGCTCTCCTCTGCATAGCAATACACACAAACTTCTTCTATCTTTGTTTTTTATTTATTATTTATTATATATATATTTATATGTATATTTATTTATATTCATATACATATTCATAAGGGTATTTAGAGGATTATATATATATATATGTATGTAAAGATTTATATATATATATATATATATATATGTATATATATAAGTATAGATATCTATATGTAGATTTATATATATACACATATATAAATGTATACATAAATATACATACAGACAAATATATATATATATATATATTTATTAATTAATTTATTTATTTATGTGAAAGAGAGACAGCCAAAACATAAAAACAAACAAAAAATAAACAAAAAGAAAAAATAAATAAACAAACGGAGACAAATTAAAAAAATATAAATTAAACAAAACAAACAAAAAAAATTAAAAAGGAGACTGATAGATAAAGGCCCACACAAATACACATTAGGGTTTAGGGTTTAGGGTTTAGGGTTTAGGGTTTAGGGTTTAGGGTTTAGGGTTTAGGGTTTAGGGTTTATGCACCTATAAGGATTTCTTTTACTTTTTCGCATAGAAAATAAACATCTTCTTCTGATAGCAAGACAGGGGGCTGGCGAGAAAGCCCTTCTGCCCAAGCAGCAAAGTTGCTGCTGCTGCTGCTGCTGCTGCCGCTGCTGCTGCAGCTGCTGCTGCTGCTGCTCCTACCCGTACATTTGCCGCTTCTCGGACGCTCGGGAGCACCGCTGCTGCTGCTTCTGCTGCTGCTGCTGCTTCTGGAAGGCGCCTGAACGGGATGGCTGCTGCTGCTGCTGCTGCTGCTGCTGCTGCTGCTGCTGCTTCCTGGCTTCCGTGTGTGAAAGTCGATCCCGCTCCCTGGGGACTTGTCTACGCTGCTGTTGCTGCTGCTGTTGCTGCTGCTGTTGCTGCTGCTACTTCTGCTGCTGCTGTTGTTATTGCCACAAGTCAGCTTGCCGGCGTAGGTCCTGTGCCCCGTTCTGCTGCTGCTGCTGCTGCTGCTGTTGCTGCTGGATGCTGTTAAGGTTTCATCTGCTGCATAGAGTTCGGGCTCTCTACCGCCTGCTGCTGTTTCAGTCGTTGCTGCTGTTATTGTTGCTGCTGCTGCTGCTGCTTCACTAGCTGTTGTTGGTGCTGCTGGTGTTTCTGCTCTCCCTTCTGCTTTTTCTTCTTCTGCTGTTGTTGTTGCTGCTGCTGCTGCTGCTATTATATCTGCTATTGCTTCTGCTGCTTCTGCTGCTTCGGCTGCTTCGGCGACTTTTTCTTCTTTTGCGGCTGAGGCTGCACCATTTGCTGCTACTGCTGCTGCTGCTGAGCCCTCTGCAGCTGGTGCTAGGTCCTCTGCTCCTGCCGTTTCTGCTGCTGCTCTTGCTGCTGCTGCCTTCCTTGCTGCTGCTGCTGCTGCTGCTGCTGCTGCTGCTGCTGCTACACCCCCCGACGCACCTGCTGTTGCTGCTGCATCATCATCTGTTGCTCCTGCCTCATCTGCTGCTTCTGCCTCACCTGCTGCTGCTGCTGCTTTGTCTGCTGCTGCTGCTTCATCTGCTGCCGCTGCTGCTGCTGCTGTTGACGTTGCGAGTGCCGCTGCTGCTTCACTCGTTGCAGCAGCGTCATGCGAGAACTGGGCCTGCTGCTGCTTGTCCTCCTTATCTGCAGCAGCAGCAGCAGCAGTTGCTGCTGCTGCTGCTGCTGGGCTTCTATTGGGCATCTCTTGAAATATTTGCTAGGAAGCTCAGGCGAATTTTCTATTGAAGGAGCTCAGGCTTCTAAACCCTAAACCCTAAACCCTAAACCCTAAACCCTACAGTCTATCCGTAAATCCTTGACCATAAGCCTTAAACCCTAAACCCTAAACCCTAAACCCTTAGCCCTAAGCCCACTGTAGCCGCGGAAGGCAATGGACTAACCATTAACGGTTCACAGCACAGTGAGGGTTTAGGGTTTAGGGTTTAGGGTTTAGGGTTTGGAGTTAAGTGAGGGATTAAGTTTGTTAATTAGGGTATAGCATGAAAGCCCTCTATCGCCGTGCAAGACAGCTGCTCCAGAAGCCATGCTGCTATTGCTGCTGTTGCTGCTGCTGCTGCTGCTGCTGCTGCTGCTGCTTCTTTTACTAGTGTTGCTGTGTGGCGGTGTTACCACTGGAAACAAAAAAGTAATAAAAAGGAGAAGCAGAAAAACAAGAATTTGCTGCTGCTGTAGTAGGCAGACAGCAGCAGCAACGGCGGCAGCAGAGCAGCAACAGCAGCAGCGGCAATGGTAACAGCAGCAGCAGCAACAGCAGCAGCAGCAGCAGCAGCTGGTTCTGGGGCTGTTGTTGTCTTAACTTACCTAAAGGTGATGATAGCCTTCTCACCAATTAATTAGCTTGCTCCCTGCAAACCCTAAACCCTAAACCCTAAACCCTAAACCCTAGCCGCTACAGCAGAACCGCAGCCGACGGGGGCCCCCTGGCAGGAGGGGCCCCCAGCAGCAGCAGCTGCTGCATCCTTCTTGGGTTTGATGCTGCTGCTGCTGCAGCAGCAGCAGAAGCAGATTCATCGATGTAGAAGACCTGCAGCAGATCTCACCCCACAACATCGCCATCAGCAGCCGGCTGCTCTCCCTGTTGCTGCTGCAGCAGCGGCTGCTGCAGCAGCAGCAACAGCAGCAGCAGCAACAGCAGCAGCAGCAGCAGAATCGGATGGTGTTGCTAGGAGGCAAACGGCATTTCATTTAGCAGCAAACGGTTTGAGGCCGTGTGGGGCCCCACAGCTGCGGGTAGCCTCAATGAGGTCCTTCACCCGCCTGTTGCTGCTGCTGCTGCTGCAGCAGCAGCAGCTGCTGCAGCTAGTTTGGTTCGGAGAGGGACTTTCGTTGCAGACTGGACACTCCGGGGTGCTGCTGCAGCTGCCTGCTGCTGCGCTGTTGCGTTCCCAAGAGCCGCAGCAGCTGCAGCAGCAGCTGCTGCAGCATTTGCAACAGCAGCAGCAGCAGCAGCAAAAACAGCAGCTGCGGACAGCTGCCTTTATCCGTGCAGCAGGTGCGAGGGCATCACAACGAACGCGAGACACGGGCAGCTGCAGCAAATTCAAAGCTGCTGCTGCTGCTGCCTGGCCAGCAGGAGCAGCACGCGCAGCAACACGAGCAGCAACAGCAGCAGCAGCAGCAGCTGCTGCTGCTGCTAAGCCACCGTGCACGTGCGGAGACGCCTCTTGCCCTTTTACTGTTGGTGTTCGTCTCTGGAGTCCGGCGAAGGCAAACCTCCTCCTCAAGATCCTCCCCAGCAGCAGCAGCAACAGCAGCAGCAGCAACAGCAGCAGCAGCAACAGCAGCAGCAGCAACAGCAGCAGCAGCAACAGCAGCAGCAGCGGAGGAGACAAGTACCACGACCTGTTGTCAATCTTCCAGGCCCTAAATCTCTGCGACGAGGTGTCTGTACACCTCAAACCCCCCAATTTTTCAGTGGATGCCGCAGGCTGCAGCAGCAGCAGCAGCAGCAGCAGCAAGAGCAGCAGCAGCAGCAGCAGCAAGAGCGACTATCCTTTTGTCTCCATCAGCAGCGAAGGAGACGTTTTGTTTAGCAGCAAAGACATCAACTGCCCTCCGCAGAAGAATTTAATCTTCAAGGCTCTCAACTTCTTTAGGCAGCACTGCTTGCAGCAGCAGCAGCAGCAGCAGCAGCAGCACCAACAGCAGCAGCAGCAGCAGCAGCAGGTGCAGTTTGTGGTTCACTTGAGGAAAGAAATTCCGATGGAGGCGGGGCTTGGAGGGGGATCGTCTAATGCTGCTGCAGTGCTGCATGCAGCAGACCTTATCCTCACCAAGGGAAGCTTCTCGCAGCAGCAGCAGCAGCAGCAGCAGCAGCAGCAGAAGCAGCAGCAGAAGCAGTCAGAGGAGTTCGCTGCTCCAGAATATTGTGGAGAAAGGAAGAAGACGTCCGTCGCCGCAACACCAGTTGAAGCAGCAGCAGCCGCAGCAGCAGCAGAAGCAGAAGCAGCAGCAGCAGCAGATTTGTGTTTTAATTCAGCATCAATGTCTTCACTGCTGTCTGTACAGCTGGGGGCTGATGTCCCGTTCTTCCTAAGCAGCAGCGGAGGCGCTGTTTGCTGCGGCAGAGGAGAGAAGGTTTGCTGCTGCTCCCGAAGGATTCACAACCTCCTCCAAAGAGCCATCGCACAGCAGCAGCAGCAGCAGCAGAAGCAGCAGCAGCAGCAAGGTGAGCAGCAGCAGCAGCAGCAGCAAGACGTGGAGGTTTTTGTTGTGAAGGGAAATGAGGGCCTCTCCTCCGGAGAAGTCTTCAAACAATTCGACAGACTTGCCAGCAGCAGCAGCAGCAACAGCAGCAGCAGCAGCAGCAGCAGCAACAGCAGCAGCAGCAGCAACAGCAACAGCAGCAGCAGCAAAGAAACAGACATTGGCATTGTCTCCGACTGGCTCTCAAAGCGAGAGCGCCGCACACTCCACAGCAAAGGGGAAGAGAGACAAGCAGCAGCAACAAGAGAAGCAGCAGCAGCAGCAGCAGCAACAGGCGAGGCAGCAGTAGCAGCAACAGAAGCAGCAGCAGATGACGAGCCGCCGCAGGAGGTTGTGGATGCCTTTCTTCGTTGTTTGCTGCATAATGATTTGTTTCCTGCTGCTGCTTCGCTGCAGCAGCAAGTTGCCGCTGCAGCTGCTGCTCTGCGCTCCATCACCGCACCACAAGGACCAGAAACAGCAGCAGCAGCACAGCAGCAGCAGCAGCAGCAGCAGCAGCAAAAGCAGCAGGTGCTGCTAGCAAGCGGCCTTACTGGCAGCGGCGCTGCGCTCATTGGAGTAGGAAAAGCAGCAGCAACAGCAGCAGCAACAACAGCAGCAGCAGAGGAAGTTCGCTCTGTTGCTGCTGCACTGCAGCTAGTAGGGTATAGATGCTGTCCTGTCTATAAGCAGCCTTTGACTGCTAAGGTGTATGCACACCCCACAGCTGCTGCAGCAGATCCAGCAGCAGCTGCTGCAGCACAGCAGCAGCAGCAGCAGCACTTCTGGTTCTCCCCAGACAAACTTGCAACTAAAATCATTTAAAAAACAACAGGTATAGTAGCAGCAGCAGCAGCAGCAGCAAGGGCACCAGCAACAGCAAATAAAGTAGCAGCAACCTAGCAGTAGCAGCAGCAACAGCAGATGTAGCAGCATCTAGAGCATCTGCAGCAACAAGAGCAGCAGCAGCAACAAAAGCAGAAGCAGCAACAAGAGCAGTAGCAGCAACAGAGCTGCTGCACTCATTTTGCAGGCACACCGGCAGAAAAGCGACAGCAAGCTGCAGCAGCAACAGCAGCAACGAAACAATCCCAGCAGCTAGCTAGTAGCTAGCTAGCTGGCTAGCTAGCTAGCTAAATATCTACTACTAACTAGCTAGCCTCTTGCCATCATCAGCATCAGCAGCAGCAATAACAGCAGCAGCAACAGCAGCAGCAACAGCAGCACCAGCACCAGCAGCAGGAACAGCATCACCAAGAGCAGCAGCAACAGCAGCAGCAGCCGCACCAGCAGCAGCACCAGCACCAACAACAACAACAGCAGCAGCAGCAGCAGCAGCAGCAGCAGCAACAGCAGCAGCAGCAGCAGCAGCAGCAATAAGCCTTAGTTCTGAAAAGTTGTTTGCTGCGGTTTGCCTGTGAAGGGATCAACGATTTGTCCGTGCAGATTTTTATGCGTTATGTTCAGCCGCTGACTTTGAAATAAATAGCAGCAAAGGCAAAAGCCTAGGAAGACCCCGGCACCTGAAGCAAATGCATACACCAGCTGCACTCCTAAACCTGCTGGCTGCTGCTGCTGCTGCTGCTGCTGATGCTGCTGATGATGCTGATTATAATGATAGTCGTACAAGGGAGAGGTAGTCGACGAACGGTAAACCGCTGGTTGCTGCTTCTGCTGCTGCTGCTGCTGCTGCTGCTGTCGCCGCCGCCGCAGTTGCTGCTGCTGCTGCTCGCGCGGTGTTTGCATGCGGAAAACAAATCGACGGGCTTCAGACTGCCATGGAGGGGCAACTGCAACAACAGGTGCTGCTGTTGCTGCTGCTGCTGCTGTTGCTGCTGCTGCTGCTGTTGCTGCTGCTGCTGCTGCTGTTCTTGTCCCAGAGAAGACACTGCACGGGGATGCTGCTGCTGCTGCTGTTGCTGCTGTTGCTGCTGCTGTTCTTGTTCCAGAGAAGACACTGCACGAGGATGCTGCTGCTGCTGCTGCAGCAGCAGCAGTTGAAGCAGCAGATACCAGACGCCCACCCGCAGCTACCGCCATGGTCAACCCTCCGTACCGTGGATGCTGCTGCTGCTGCTGCTGCTGCTGCTGCTGCAGCTACTGCTGCAGCTGCTGCTGCAGCTGAAAGGGGTTATGACTTCTAGCAAGAGAAGACGTCACCTGCTTGCAGAAATCCGCAGTACGAGTCCTGCTGCTGTTCTTTCGGAGGTGCTGTTGCTGCTGCTGCTGCTGCTGCTGCTGCTGCTTCTGCTGCAGTAGCCGAGGTGTGCATACACCTCAACTGCTCCTTATGCTGATACTGTTCTGCTAAATGTAGAAGAAATACATTTGCTAATATGGCTAAGGTCGATGCAGGGACTGGAGCCGCTGCAGCAGCAGCAGCTGCTGCTGCTGCTGCTGTGGTCCGAGCAGCAGCTGCAGCAGCAGCAGCAGCAGCAACAGCAGCGGTGGCAGTGTAGCGGCGCGCTGTGTTGCTGTTCGTTGAGGGTGTTGTCTTTATCTTCTTTTCGTTATTTTGTTGCAATTGCGGAATTTTATTTGGCTGTTAGTTTCTTTCGTTTATCATTTATACTCAGCAGCAGCAGCAGCAGCAGCAGCAGCAGCAGCAGCAGCAGCAGGGTGTTTGTTTGTATAGCCGACGACACCACAAATTGCGTTTGGCTTCTTTGTGTATATTATTATATTGTGTATTAAATCGACTTCTATTTGTATTATTAATATTAATATCTTTAATTAATTTATTTATTCTTCTTTCTTAAAATTAAACAGAAGGCTGGCTGTATATATCTTGAGCTGTGCATACACCCGAAGCACTCACTAGAACCACTCATTTTAATTCATTTCTTCAAACATATTTATTTATTTTATTTTATTTGTCTTCTCCTCGCCTTTTGATTTCCTTTTTCTTTTTTTCTTCTCTCTTTAGCAAAACTTCAAAACAATGACAGCCCCCAAGCGACTTATTAACTTCTCCGCAGGTATATACAACAAAAAAATGCATTTGCTGCTGCTGTTGCTGCTGCAGCTGCTGCTGCAGCTGCTGTTCTTGTCATTGTTGTTGTTCTTGCTGCATAGAATGCACAGTCGCACACACACTGGCGTCAATGGCTCAGCAGCAGCAGCAGCAGCAGCAACAACAGCAGCAGCAGCAGCAGCTTCAAATTCTTTCGATAATTCCAATTGCTGAGGTCTCCTCCTTTCTGTTTGAGCTGAGCGTTGTCTCTGTCTAAATGCATAAATATATATACCTATATATATATATACATATATATATATATATGTATATATATATATATATATACATGCATATATATATATATATATATA